AGCATGGAACAGCTTGCACTAGGATGTGACCTGGCTCCTGGCAGGCACCCAGCTCCTCTGGGTTTGTGGTAGGTCCAGGCTTGGGGAGCAAATCCAGGCACTTGGGAGAGAGGGACTCTGACCACATGGGTCTCAGCAATGCTCCTCTCCACACCCTGTCCTGCATGTGCACAGGGGTGCAAGAGCCAGCACGGTCCCTTGTGGTCGTCGGCCTGTCCCATCCCTGTCCTGATGAAAGTTTCTTACTGTTGTCTATTGAATCAAACCATGATGCTCAGCACTGACCTCAACTCTGACCTAAGAGGGCCTACATCTGTCAAGGAGAAAGAAGTAATCCCATAAAATCCTCAGCTTCCTACTTAAGAGTGGAGGCTAGTTAGCCTTTTGCCTTCTGCTCCGAGAGCTCACTAAGACAGGGATCGATGCAGTAATTGCTTCTTTGGGGACTCAAGGAATGAGTAGCTAAAGTAGCTCAGCTCTGAAGTCCTGTGCCTACTCAGTGGCAGCTCCTCCCTCCCTTTCCAAAGGCTGCAGCATGGCCTCAGTGGGGATTTGTGTTCTGCTCTCAGTGCCACTTCTCAATCCCTGGTTTGTGATCCACTGCCCAGAATAACCATGGCAGGATGATTCCTTCCTCCCCCCACCCACCACTACTCCTACCATTCCCAAAGCAGCAGGGAAAGGATCCTGGCCCCTGCTCATCACATCCCATACAGGTACACACATGGGAGTGGGACAGTCTCCACTGTGTAAACCCTCCATCCAGCGAGGTCCCCAGGAAGGGTCACTGCAGTTTGTCTTACACAGCTCCGGGTGCTTCCCATGGTAGGAAGCAGCCTGGTGGCTCCTTTCCTCTGGCAGCTGCATTGTCTGGCCAGCCCACAAGGTAAGGGATGAGCTTTATCTGAAATCCTTCACTACTGTTGAAGAATAGTAATCAGACAGCTCGGTCATGGCTCCAAAGAAGAGACAAATTCTCTGCTCACCTACGTCTACTCGTATGGACTTCAGTGCAACTGCACCAGGAGAAAACCCCCTTTGCCCCGCTGCGGTGACCGCTCCCAGCTGCTGAGGGCACCCAGGACACGCCGTGTCCCCATGCCACCCTGTGCCCACAGGTGGCAGCGGCCCCCGTCCTGCCATGCAACCTGGGCACTAAAATTCCTGCAGAAAGCATCTTAGGGGAAAATTGCGTCCAGAGCGTGAACCGGCGGCACGAGCTGATGCTCGTCCAGGTCTCCGAGTCATCCGGTGTCCAGGAGGGGGGAGCAGGGAAAGCAGCCGGCTGCCGAGGTCTCGATCCACGGCTCTCCAGCCGCTCTGCATCCCCCCGCGCCTCCTCTCGCTCCCGCGGCGTGCGGGACACGCTCCCTGCCGGGAGCGCCCGGCCCTGCAGCATCCTCTGCGGGGAGCGGCCCCGGGCGCCGCGCATCCATCTGTCCTCGGCACGGGACAGACGGACGGGCCACGCCGTGCGCCCAGCGGGGCTGCTCGGCGTTTCGCAGCTGCGGAGCAAGCCTGCGTGCCTTGCGGGTGGGGACTGCCTGCTGCTCGGTAGGCAGACGGCAGCAGAGGGTTTGTGGGTGGGAAGGTGTCTCCAAACACAGCCTCAGCCTCCACCAGCTCAGTCTTGCAGTCGGGGTGTTTCTGCAATATGGAAATCTATCACCACGGCTCCCCCCTCTGCAAAAGAGCACTTGGCAGCCGAGAAGTAGGTTGTGAGTGCAGCCACAACCGATGCTGCAAGAAGTGGCACTCGTCCCACAGGAAGCCTCTTAAAATGCTCCATGGACCCAGTGCAGAGCATCGCCGACACCTCCATGGTGCAGCCACCCCTACAGGAGGGTTTGAAGATGAGGCCATGCCAGTCTGGCCCTGCAGCAGTTTGACAGGCATGGGGAAGGAGGAGGATGACCTTCTCCACTTGGAATTGAAATCTACATAACAGGCAGGAGAACCAGCAGCCCCCACCGCCAGGGCTGAGCGAGGTGGCTGGAGTTGGCATCAGGTGGCAAATATGCCTGGACCTTCAGAGCATCTCAGTTCTGTATGAAGGAGGAATTGTCCCACTCACCTGACTGTGGACCACACGGCCTCACCACCACAGGACACGTGGAGGCCCACCCTGCTCGCAGAGGGAGCCAATAGATTCCCTGGGTTATGCTGGACAAAGTCAAAACCTGCAGCTCAGCTGTGGTGCCTGGGAGCAAGGGATGGCACAGAGGCCTCACCAGGGATGGCTTTCTCATTGCAGCACCAGCTACTGCACCAGACCAAAACCAGCACCTCGTCTGAAATATGGTGTTCCCTGACCTGGCAAAAACCATACTGGGCTTGCAAGGTGGGGCTGGCTGGCTGCACAGGGAGCTGCACAGGAATCAGGCCCCACATCTGTGCCTGCAAGAAAGCTCATCTCCCATACCAGTGTCAGTGTTGACCCAGCCTTGCCTGGGTCTTGAGAACTATCAGCCCCACCATCCTGAGGGTGTGCCAGGGGCAGGTCCTTGCAGAGATAACCCAGCTCTGTGTCAAAAGCCATGCCTCCAAACACCCCACTGCTTGTGGGGAGCCCTCGGGCCAGCAGAGAGACCCAGCACCAGGGAGGTGGGAAGGAGGACGATACAGCAGCAGGGCTGGCCAAACCTTGCTGTGAGCTGCTTCAATAGAAAAGCAATCACTCATGCTCCACCTAAAAGCCTGTGATTTAATCCTGGGGGACCAACAAGGGGAGATCCAAGATAAACAACATCTGTGCATTCACAAATAGGAAATGGAGTTGCTTTCATGTCCTGAGCCTGTTGATTAACCGCGTTATTGTTTGGCTTGGCACTAGAAGCTCGGTGACTTGGAAAGAAGGTAACTAAAAGGGATCATTTTGTTACACACCCTGAATTTGAGAATCTTAAAATAGTGTACGGGTTTGCATTTTGCCTGCAGAAGACTGATGGGAAAAGGTAGCAGAAGAGTGCAGATGGCTATCAGAAAGGAACCTGTGTTTAGTCTGCTTGTGCCAGATGGGAATGGAAAGTTCTCTCCCTTGCCAAGTGTTTAAAAGAGGAAATAGGATGTGATATTCTGCGTCCCACTCCTTTCTCTCCCCTGAAACCAACTCACTGCTCTACTTCCATTTGTTGTAAAAAGATTTAAAAAAAAAGTAGCTTGGCCCATGTAAAGCCTTGGAGACAGCTGGAGACACACCTTGTTCCTTTTTAATGTGTTTATCATGTGGAGACGGATGGAACAGTGTATTTTTATACGCAGCTGGGCCCAGCACTGCGCAGCACCTGTCCTTCAGTCACTCATATTCATCCATGTCACAGAAACAACACTGCAAAGCCCCCAAACCATCTTCTGCTGTCATCTCCTCCACACAACTCAAGATTCAGACACCTTGGCTGACAAACCTACCCATGAGATGGACCAAAGCTTCTTGCCTGAAATTCCTATGCTTTCCCCTGGCTAATAGATCCAGGTCTGCTCTGAACTGCAATCGCCTGGGGAACTTGTGGAGGTGGGGAAGGCTGGGATCATGACGCTGGTTTGAGGCATTCCTTTAGAGAGCTCCAGCGATTGACCCAACGCTGCCCTGTCCACATGAGTGCTGCAGCACTTGGTGATGTGGTGCATCAGTAAACTCTTGGGTTAATTGCAGAAATATCTTATGGATGTGGAGGATGTGGATAACAGAATCACAAAGCAGCTCTGGGCAGAAAGGACTGGTCCAGGGCCTCCTGTCCAGCCCCTGCTTGGAGCCAAGCTGGCCTGCAAAGTTGAGCAGGTAGCTGAGGGCAGGTCCAGGTGAGCTGTGTTTCCCAGGGCAGAGATCCCACCACCTCCCCAGGCAACAGGTCCAGGGCCTCACTGTTCCCATGGAGAACATTCTTCTTTCTCCCTAACCAGAACTTCCCTCTGCAGTTTGTGCCTATTGTCTCTTGCTATGTTCCTCCAAGAAGGGTCTGGCCCCACTTTCTCACCAGCTCCCCACAGGGGGTGGATGACAGTAGCCAGACCCCCACCTTTGCTTCTTGCTCTCCAGATGGGACAAACCACCTGCTCAAAATGGAGCTATGTCCTAAATTGCTAAAGCAGTGTCCTCATAGCAATAATATCCACCCAGTTAGTCTCAAGCACAGGCACTTCTGCAGTGTCCTACAGCTATAGCTTCTGAAGGAAGGCTTTGATCACTTATTTCCCCAGGTAATTAAAGAACATTTGTATAACCTTTTCATAGAGGCAAATGGCCTCTTGTGCTCCAGCCCCGATCTGTGTGTACCCAGAAATGAAACTGAGCAGAGCAGCAGAGCCTTCAGGAGAAAAGCTTCTCTCACACCTTCCCATACAGCCTCCAGGCCACCCCACAAACACACCTGCCTTGTTCACAAAGCCACGGGGCACTGGGTCTGAGCACAGTCCCCACCACTGCAGAAATCCTTGAGGAGGAGAGGAAACGGGCCAGCACCCACCCAGCTGGAGATGCTGCATCTGCTGGGCATTGACCACATGGCCATCTCCAGGTGAAAGGACACAGCTCCTCAGAGTGGGGACGAGGCACCCGACAGAGCGGGGAGAGCTGAGCCTGGTGGCCAGAGTGTGGGCAGGAGGGAGCTGGGGCAGCCTGGTCCCCTGTGTGGCCCTGGTGTGTGCGGGAAGCCATCAGGCAGCAACAGGACTCTAAGGACCTGGGCATTTAATGAGCAGTTTCAGGAATGCTCTCAGCTTTGCTGTTTCTGGCACTAATTACTAAATGTTTCCAAAGCTGCTGTCCATGTGGAACAAGGCCCTTTGTCTGTGCTGCTGTGGGCAGCAGGGCAATATTGCAAGGGTGTCTGCTCAGTCTGGAGGGGCTGTGCATGTTATTCCTACCTTTTTCTCACAGGGGAAAGAAAGGATAAGGCCTCCCTCTCACTGTCACATGAGAGGTGCTGTCACTTGCCTTGCCGGGCACTGGGCTGTCCTGCCTCTGCTCTGGGAGGGTGTAAGCTTCTCAGGTGTGGGGAGAATGGGAATGGGGCAGAAATAGGCCTGGCCTGCCCAGGATATGTGTGAGGACCTGCCTCCAGCTAGCAAGAAATCCACATGGAGACTGGTGAGATCAGTTTAGTAATGGTCGCAGGAGAGGACGGGAGAAGGAAAGGCAGGGATGGGGAGGGATGAATACAAGATGGATGGGTGGCTGGGATCTGACTGGCAAAACATAAGAGCTGTATATTTAGGACAGGGCCAGGTACACATGGGGACAGTTGTGGGAGAGAAGTTTAGATAGTGCTGGCTGTTTTTGTAAAAAAGTTGCCATGAGGAATGGCCACCCAAAGGTCAGCCTTTCCCTGTGCCAGTGCGTGCCCCCAGCAAAGGCACGGCACACAGGGAGGCAGCTGTAACCCCTGTCTGCCAAAAGGCCAGCTAGCTTCCCAGCCCTTGTCCCTTTCCCTGCCTGTAAGAGCACTGCACCCAGGGTGGTGTGAAGCCCCGCTGTGTTTTTTCTAAGTGAGACTCCCCGTATCACAGCTCCCTCAAAGCTGGTGGTCACAATCTCCTGACAATCTGCAGGCAGCATGGCAGGGTCTTGCTCCTCAGCTGCATTCCTTGCTCTCAGGTACAGAAAGGTAAAATCTTTTCCATTGCTCTGGGCTCCTGGAAGGTTAAGCCCTGGTTAAGGAGAGCAAACAAGCAGTTTGGCATGTTGTGCCACCAATGCAGAGAGCTATGGCCACATCTGGGCGGGAGTGGGGGCCGAGCGCATCCCTGCTGCAGGGCTGCTGCCGGCTGCACTTCGGCAGGGAGGGATTTAGCCCTAAGACTCTTAGTGACGCATCTTGGGAGACTTAGGCTGAGCCTGGCTTGCAGAGACGTGACCCGTGCTGCATTTCCCGTGGTCACCTGCCAGTCTGCATTATGTGAGCTGTCACCCGCTCCCAGACACAACACGTGAGCGCGGTGGCACAGGGGCTTGGCAGACGAGGAGGGGGAAAACCAGCCCAATTCCTTACTTGGCCAAGCCTTGCCCCTGCACCAAGGCTGCTGAAACACAACGTGGGGCTGCTCCCAAAGAACAAAACCCACTGCTTAAAGCTGACAGGGAACCAGCAACCAGTTTGCTGTTGCTTTAACTGGAGGGAGGAGATGCTAAGGAACCTCAGGTCTCTGGATCTACAGGAGAGTCCTTCCCACTGCCTTTGGGGGGGTCAGCATTTAGGATGGGGAAGAGCCAGGACTGTGATTGCTGAATTCTGGCTCCTGTTTGACCTGTATTTGTAAGAATTGCAGAATGAGTCACTGCAAAGAAAGCAGCAAAGACCAAGGCACAATTTAATGACGTTGTTTATAATAATCCTATCCACAGGTGTATTATTATAGCTGAAGAAAATGGAGAAAGGAAAATAAAGGTCTTACTTTGCCTTGCAGAAAGGCAGTCCCAGGGCCAGGACCAGCCCTGGGAGAAAGGAGCAACATGCTGGTTTTCACTGTGAGGAATGGCTTGCACAGAGACCACCCACTCCGAGAACTGACCTGACTTTGGTGATCACATTCAGCTGAGATGAAAGTTGAAACAAGGCCAGCTGTAATCCCCAAGAAACCAGGCCACTCTCAGGACTCAGGACAATCAGGTCCCATTAAAAAGCATCTGCCAGACTGATGTCCTGTGGGTTTTATTACTGTGCTTAGCTAGAAATCATTGGTGAGGACTGATCTCCTGTGGCCTGGGGAAGGAGCTCAAAAGCTGCAGGTCAGTTTCAGGGGCAGCAATGTCTGTTTTCAGAATTTCTTGTCTCCCAAAGGCAATGGGATGGTGCCTTTGGCAAGTAGTGTACTCAGCTTCTTCCCTAAAAGACATGGAAACTTAGGAAGAGAAATGTGACAGTCTTGGAAGTGACAGGTGAAGCGCTCGAAGTACTCCGTACGTGACAGGGCACAGTTAATAAGGAGCAAAGAGGACACCATGGAAATGCCTGCTGTTGTTTGCTTTTTCTCCTCACCATCCGTTTGTCTTTTGACTACTGCAGTCTCCGAGCCACAATTAGGAGTGAACTTGTTGCAAGAGTTCCCAGATTTAATTGAGCTCCCTTGAAATGAAACCATTTATAACAACCTTTTGCAAGGACGAAACACGATGTACTGTGCTCTGGTACAGCCAGGAATATGCTGTCCTGGGGGCTGGGGAGCCCCGCTGCAGCACACAGGGACAGCTGCCACCCAGGGACGAGCTCCCTGCTGGTCCAGCAGCTTGAGCCCAATCCCACTGAAATCAGTAGGAATTTTAAGATCCCTGAAGCAGGAGTCATAGGATGCAGAACTTGACTCTGGCTCCAGGAAATTTATTTAGCAGAGAGGAACAAGAGCAGGCTGTAAGGAAGATAATTTTTTTGTTTTACTTCATGTATCTCGCCTCCCAAATGAGTGAGATCCCTGTCCCAGTCCCTAACTGGAGTGCACCTAATGAGACCTTGATTTGCCTTTTTTAATCAATGAGGAACGCTCTCTGCCCTGCCTCTTGGCAGGACAGAAAAAATGCTCACATTGCAGTGGTGGAAGCATAGAAGGGCAGATCCAGACCTTGGCTCATGTTCTGGACCTCTTGCTCATCCCTGCTCCTGAACAGCTAGACCTGGTGGCAGCTGAGGACTTCTTCATGTATTTTTGGAAGAGAAGTCTCCTAGCTGTCTAGAAATCACACACTTGCCTTTCTGCCTGTCTGGGGCAAGAGCACATGATGCCAAAGTCACGAGCTGACCCTGGGTGACACTTGGGCCTCTCTGGCTAGTATAGGAATAGAGCACAGGGTCATGGCAGGACCAATCATTTACTCACTAAAAAAAGGTTGGTTTGGACTAAAGGGGAATGTTTGCAAATGTCACCCCAAGTCAGCAGACAGTCACACCAGTGCTTCAGACATTAGGGTTAAACCCAAATACAAAGAAGCCCTGGCTGGCTTCAAACTCCTTTCAGGGAAGTTCTTTCATTTTGCTGAGCAAACCAAACTACCAGAAATGTTCGCTTCTGACTGATCTAAAATGAACCCACTTGACCTTCTTCCTGATTTGATTAATAGGGGAAAGAATTTCGTATTTGTACAGTTTTAATAACAAGCCATCAAGGAGGAGCCGTGAACTGTGGGTGAGCCACGTCGGGAGCCTCCTGGAGAAGGAAAAATTGTCCCAGCCTGACCTGCAGCAGCTGCAGCACCATGGGCTCAGTGGAGCTCTTCAAGATTCACTGAGGTGCCTTCTCCTAGGCCCTGAATGTGGCAGCTGGAAGACACCCCTCATGGCTTAGGGGTGCTCTCAAGAATGGCTGCATTATCAAAAAAGTCCTCGTTGCAGCAGGTTTTACAAGAAAAAACAGAATCAGCATGGGGCGCTTGTAGTGGGGATAGAAAGAAGAAAAACATGCAGCCTTCTTTTATGAATAAAGTAATTTTAAAATGTTGACATGTGTCTAAAATAAAAAAGGCCACTCTGTAGAACTGGCCCAAACCAACATGACAGTAAAACAGGAACATATCTGCCTTGTTTTACGGCCTCCTGCCCTCCACACCCAGCAAGGCCCAACACCAGGGGACCAGCCTTGTGTCCAAAGAAGTCACGGCTTGCAAGAGCAAATTTGGCAGAAGCTGCATGGCAGAGTAACTTTGAAGAGAAGCAGCTTGTTTCTTTTGGAGACAGGGAGGAAGGGATGTTAAGTAAAAACTGCCATGGCTTTTATCCACGCGTGCCTAAACGCAAACCTGGCTTCACCCGCGGCTTCAAGTACTTACATGACACGAGCAGCCGCTGCCGATGGTTGTTGCTCTCCTCCGATACACACTTGTCTCATGCTTTAGCGGGACAAATGAGCCCGGCCGGGGGTTTTTGCGGGGCGGCAGCAGCGGTGCGGGAGCCCGTGCCGACAGCAGAGGGGGGTGTTGGGCCGCTTTTCCCGCTCGTCCCGTGCCGAGCCCGCCGGCCGAGCCGGAGCTCCGCGCCCGGCCGCCCTCAGAGCCCGCCGCGGGCCCCTCCGGCCGGCCCCCATCGTGTGCCCCATGGAACGGAGGCGTGGGGGGCTGCAAGGGCCCCCTCCTCATCTCCAGGTTCGGGTTTTGTGCTGCCAGCTTCTGCTGATGCCTCAGGTTTTAGCTTTTATGTTTTTCAGACTATGCTCTGCTTTAGCGTCTAAGTCCAGGCTTCATATTAGGGGACAGCAAGCTCTCTTCACAGAACAGGTAGGCAAAACAATTCCTTCTCTAGCTGGGGACCCAAGGACAGCTGATCCAGATCTCAGGCCCAAGAGCATAAACAACGGTGGAATGAAGAGAGAAAAACAAGAAGGATGGGACTTCATGGGCTAAAGCTGTAATTGGACAATTAGCTCCAATATGCTAATGGACCAAAACTTACAAAAGCGTGAGACCCCATGACTGGTCAGGCATTTTGTGACCATTTTGGGTTGTGCTGCCCAAGGTGGATCTATTTAGGCCTTTTAATAAATCCCTACTTTATTCTTTAGCTCCGTCTAGTCTCTGTTCCAGGTCAGCCTTCACAAGGCATCGCTGCGGCCCCTCGGCTGCTCCCGCACCGTGTCAGAGCAAAGCTCCTCCATGGGCAGCGCTCAGGAGCACAGCTCACACCTGGAAAGTGGCCCCCCCTGAGCAGGGTGAGGGTGGAAATTCATTCCCACCAGAGGACTGGAAGTGCTCAGCTCTGTGGGGCCTGGCCTCTGACAGGCACAGGCCTGAGGTAAATTCATAGAAATGGAGAATGGTGCAGGTTGGAGGGTGCCTTAAAGGTCACTTAGTTCTAAACTCCTGTCAGGTCCAGGGACCCTGGACCTTCCACTAGACCAGGTTGCTGAAAGCCCCATCCAACCTGGCCTTGAGCACTTCCAGGGAAGGGGCATCCACAGCTTCTCTGGGCACCCTGTGCCAGTACTTCACCATCCTCTAAGCAAAGAGCTCCTTCCTAACTTCTAACCTAAATTGCTCCCCTTTTAGTTTACAACCATTTCCCCTTGTCCTATCCCAGTCTGCCCATTTAAAAAGGTCACTCTCCCTTTTTTTATTAAGTCCCCTTTAAGTACTTGAAGGTGCTCTGGGGTCTCTTTGGAGCCTTCTCCAGGCTGAACAGCCCCAGATCTCTCAGCCTCTTTTCATAGGAGAGGTGCCCCAGCCCTCTGAGTGTCTTTCTGACCTTCCTGAACTGTCTCTAAGAGGTTCATGTCTCTCTGCTGGACCCCAGAGCTGGGCCCAGAACTCCAGGTGGGGTCTCACAAAGGCAGAGCAGAGGGGCAGGATCCGCTCCCTCAACCCACTGACGGTGCTGCTCATGATGCACCCATGAGAACCCCTAAGACCTCAGTGGGGCTGCTCTCAAGGAGTTCTTCTGCCTGCCTCTACTCATGTCTGGGATTGCCCCAACCCAGGTGTTGCAGATGGCCTTACTCCAAGCAGGTCCTGGAGCAGGACAAAGGGACAAAGGCCCTCTCTGCTGCAGTGCTGTGCAACCTGCCCAGTGCAGGCCAGTCGTGTAGCTGGTCCCCTGAAACCGTGTATTTCATGGTTAAAGAAGGCACTGCAGGGGAAAAGTACACCTTTTATAAATTGGTTGAGCTCCTGGGGACAAAAGGTATTCTATGAAGTTAAATATTAAAGCTACCCTGGATTATTCATTAAGCATCAATTATCATCATCACATTTGCTGTCAGATGTTTCAACGCTGCTATTCTGCTCTAGGAGGGAACATATTTTTAGGCTGGTTTCTGAAGGAAGGATGTTCTTGGGGTCAGCTGTGCAGCGTGCTTGTCTGTCCTCACTGATTCGGTGAGGACATTTCAGCCGAAGTTTTTGGCAGGCTGGAAGCCTCCACACACTGTGTTGCTGCAGATTAATTAGCCAGGGGGGTGGTGGGGAGCCCCCAGACCCAGCAGGTGGTGTGGGTGCAGGTAGGGCAAGCACCTGAAGGGTGCAAGAGAAGCTCCAGGCAGGGCAGCTTTGGTGCCAGCACTGGGGAGCTCAGCCATGGGACACAACACCATGGGAGACCTCAGCTTCCCTAACTCTGCTGCCCAATGAATAATTTACACAAATACCTGCCAACTGTGAATTGGCTCCTTATTCCACATCCTTTCTGCTACTCCTGCCTCCCCTCGTTTGTGCCTTTATGGCATTACACACTTGGAACAAGCTTTGGTTTAACAATAAAGGCAGCCTCATCTGCAAAACAGGATGTTCCAAAATAAGATCTAATTTTCCTCTGCGAGAACCTAAGGCAAAAGTAAATGGATATCCACTCTAAAGGCAAACACAAACAAGGACTTATTATTTATCATTAAAACATCTTTAAAAGGCTCTAGAGCCCTAAAAGCAAAAGTTTTGTGCTGTGTAAAAGAGTTATGTTTCTGAGATGTATCAGTTCAATAATTAAAACAGCATCTATGAAATATAAATGTAAGATATTAATAAATTAAATTAAATTAAAGCCACTGAAAGCCAATTATCTTGTAAAAGATCTCTGATAGCTAAACTAATGAGATGTAGAAAGATTAATTTAGATCCCCATTTTGGGAGGTGATTATAAATTGCTATAATGCCACATCCAGTTACTAGGTTGTTATTGAAACCTGTGAAATACATTTGGAAAGGTTTTTAAATATTCAGGATG